CATCATATCCTTAAAATAAGTCAGATACTTTACCTCTTCTCATTTTAATTTTTCTTGACAATTTTCTAACATCTACCGATGAGCCACATTTTATCTTATTTTTAAATTCTTATTCTTATTCTTATTATTATTTTGTTTTTCGAGACAGGGTTTCTCTGTGTAGCTTTGTGCCTTTCCTGGAACTTACTTGGTAGCCCAGGCTGGCCTCGAACTCACAGAGATCCACCTGCCTCTGCCTCCCCGAGTGCTGGGATTAAAGGCGTGCGCCACCGCCACCACCTCTTGGCTTATCTTATTTTTAATTGATAAAGAATAGTTGCATATATTTTAGGGTTCAAAGATATTTCTAGATATATAGTTATAAAATGACCAAGGCAGGATTAACACAGATCCATCACTTCCAATATTTATTATTCCTTGTGGCAGTCATATTGATTCTTTTTATTTCTAGGATACACACATACAAATTGAAGAGCTTTCTAATTTTCCTTTTTGTCCTGATTAGCAAGCTTCTTGACATGGATTAGACATGGATCTTGTCTACACATCTTTCCTAGGTTCTTTTGATCTGTCTGCTTTTGTCATCCATACATTTTTATTACTTCTTTGATTATTTCTTTACCTTTAAGTATTTTTTCTTCAAAATAATAGTTTCTTGGAAACTGGAGAGATGGCTTGGCAGTTAAGAGCACTGGTTGCTCTTTCAGAAGACCCATGTCCAATTTCCAACATCTACATGGCAGTTCATAACTGTCTGTAACTCCAGTTTCAGAGATGCCCTCTTCTGACCTTCACAGCTAGGTACCAAGCATGTATGTGATACATAGGCAAAATGTTCACTCGCATACAATAAACATATAAAATTAAAAACTTATTTGTTATTTGCTTGTTCATGCTTTATATAACCAGAGTATCTTAATTAGACATTTCTTCTTTACCCTTGTTTTTGGAGACATGTCTCATATAGCTCAGTCTAGCTTTGAACTTGCAATGTAGTGGAGGATGATTTTAAACTCTTGATTCTCCTGCCTCTGTTTCCTAAGTGCTGGGATTACTGGAACTGCTTTACCATTGCCAGCTTTTCCCATTTGCTCTCAAATTCCTAAGATAGGCATAGCTATTATTGTTAAGTAAGGTGCTCTCTATAACATTAAGCCTGTCTGTCTGCCTGTGGAGGCTCTTCCTGTTTCTGTGACCTATCTTGAGGAGCTATGAGAAATGAGCACACCTAGGAACAATGAGAAAAGAGCAGAAAATACTAGCAGGGCATATCAGTAATTTATCATCAGGGTTGGGAACCTTCTGAGTGTCTACAAACTCTTGGGGCAACATCTTGCTTTTTGGGCTAAAGGATTCTTCTTGTCTCAGGCTATGAACAAAAGACCTTGGGAAAGGGAGTGAGATATAGTCTGAGAGCCCTAATCAACACTGTGGTCCAGTGGCCCACCACTCACTTCCATTATTCTTTGCGTTAGGGTGCATCAATGTATTTTCACAGTGGCCATTCCCTGCATGTGTTTTGGGCTATGATATATTCTACTGATGGATGTTTCCTGCTTTTTGGATCTCAGGGAATTTGTTTTCCTTTCTGCCAATGAAACTCTTCCATTACAGTCCTGGTACCATATTGATCTACTTTTTAGAAATATATTTCCATCATTTGTAGGAATTGAAGTAAGAAGATGATATTGGCATCTGTGCTCAGTCCATTACTGCTGGAATTTGTCTTCTGTGACTTTTCTGTGATTTCTTCTTTTAGCTATGCCTTCATTTATTTCACTCTACAATGCCACGGAGTACCACCTCTGGGCCAAGCTTGGTATCAGTTAGTACCAACTCTGGGCCAAGCTTGGTATCAGTTGTTTTTCAAGAAGGTAGTGCCATTACCCATAAATAAAAGGGTGTGATTTTTTTTCTCATTTTTTCATAATAAACCTTCGCCTTATATCAGTCTAAGTGCACATTTTTTTTTTTTTAAACCTTGAAGGCTTAGCTTGGGTTAGAGACTAATCACCAAAAAAGCAGAACTCACTGATTTAGGTGTGAGTCAACGTGCTGTTTTGGCCTCACTCACATAATGATGTCAAAGTGCTAGTTAGGTGTTTTCAGATGCTGCTCTCTGATGACTCCATATTTGGTCAGATTTCCATACTTATCAGTGGTGCGGGCGTGTCTCTCACATCTGTCTCCTCTGAGTTCTTATTGCCTCTGCCTAGTTCTGACTCCTGTCACATGTACCATGACTGGTCTGGCTAACGACTCAGTCCCTGATCTTTAGCAGCAGCTCCTAACATTTGCCACGGCAAAACTGATGACCTGAGGTCCATTAAGTCTATGAATTTATAATCTCTCTTACTTTACAACCCTTACATTTCTTCCATTAAAAATTGAAAAACACTTATCATTTCCTTATTTATAAACCTTCAAAGTCTCTCATTTGCTTAGAGTAAGATGACCTTAGGAGCAATATTTTTATAGATTATTTTATTAAGCTCTTTATGTAAGTAGTGGATAGTATCATCATAATTATGGGTATGAATGCTGGTAAAATAGAATCATCATTCTAATAGTGACTAGGAATTAAGGAATATGAAGTAAATGCTATATTAATGACTTAATTTGGTTAGATGGGGTGAGTAAAAGAATGAATTGTACAAACTATAGAATTTTGACTTGCAGATCAATACAATTTTGGACCATAAAGACTAAATTCACTAAAATGATACTGCACTGTATGAGAGTGGAGAAAGTGAGAAGAGAACAAGCATGGATTCATCCACTGTTCTGCTCCTGATTATGGATGTGATATGACCAGCTCCCTCAAGCTCCCACCTCTGCTCCTTCCCTGTTCTGATAGACTGTAACTTGGCATTGTGAACTAAAATAAATCCTTTCTCCGCTAAGTTGCTTTTGTCAGGATATTTTTTTAAAAATCATCCATCAGGAAAGGAAATTAAGACAGTCTTGAGTCTCTCACTTCTGTTTTTGCGGCTCAGTTTAAATGCTGTCTCAATGTAAAATCCTGTGCTTTTCTGTGTAAGGATACTGGGATGTTTCACGGGAAACGATGACCAATTTGAAACCAAGGTCTTGGTCCAGGGTATTGCTACAAAGGTATTTCTATTTTTCCAAGCTCTTTGAGATGTAAATATCGTGAATCAACTGAAATGTGTGAATTACAAAAAGGGGATTTGTGGATAGCCCACCTTTGAAGACCAGAGTCCAGTAAGAGCATTGGCAACAGATGAATTCAAATTCTCAATGTGGCTGAGGCTCTGCCTGTCTCTCAGCTATAACTGGGAGTCAAACTTGGAGTGGTGGGACCAGAACTCACTTCTTAAGGCCTTCAAATTTGTTCACTTTAAAAACAATGTGCATGTATTCAAGGAAGAGTTAAGAACTGTTTGAATGTTGTCAGCTGTTGCATAAGATAAGAAAAAACCCAGAAAATGTTATTAAATTTTAATAATAGAGAGATGCTTATATTGTTTTCCTTTCAAGTGATAGAGGTCAGAACCTAAAATCCTGGGGTTAAGGAGGAAGAGATGGGACAATGGAGGTTGTAGTTATAACCTTTCCTATTTCCCTTCTTTTTTCCTCTGTCTTTACCTTCTTTCTCTAAAATGTTGGTGTTCAGGGGAGTGATAGAGTGAAGATGAAATTAATGATTTGTATTGTAGAAAGAAGCACATGGGGGCAAAATTCACTAGGTGATGGATCATCTGTACCTGTTGCAAACGTGCAAGGTTGACCTTAGATATATAGAGCAATTCCTTATAGGGAGTCAAAAAGGCTAGTAGATTTTACAGTGGAAAGATAGAAAGTGGAATCAGCCAAGCTTCAGTATGAAAAAGACCAAATTCATAGTGATTCAACAAAATGTAAGACTGCATATCCTTTAAGCAATTATTCATGTAGATAGTCAAATGCTGATACAATGGCTTCATAATAAAATTTACAGATTCAGTCTATCTTGTTGCTGTGCCAACCTCAGATGCAGCTTGCCCTTTGTCAGACAAAGGTGGTTGCTCTATCCCCTATCAGCTTGTAAGAATACTAGCCAGAGGGGAAGGAAAAAGTGAAAGAGAAGGCACGTATCTTCGCTTTAAAGTGAATGCAGAGATTGTCCCTATTCTCTCCAAATCTCATTCTGGCCTGTAGCTGAGGCTGAGAAATGCAGTGTTTGGTACGATGAGAATGCCTAACTAAAACTCGTATTCTTACTGAATGAGTGGTTCTCTGCTTCAGGGGATATAGTATTTCTTCTCTAATTTCTCAATGAGAGGGTGACTCATGAATGGAATGAAAGAATGGATGAGATTGTAAGGGGTTCTGGATTAAGGCGAAGGAACACAGTGTTCACCTAGAAGAATGAACTCAGTAGAGAACTACTTAACTACTTAACTATAGGCTGTGTGGAGGGACCACTTCAATTTGTGGTCAAAAGGAGCAAATGGCCTATCATTCTGACTCCTCTCTGAAGTTTCCACATTAAAAAAAAAAAGTGTTTCATGAGATGGAGCACAGTGGTACACTTGGGATAGGACACGTGTTCCCTTCAGTCAAAGGTCTCTGATAAGCTATGCAGCTGGCCAAGAAAAGTTTGCTCTTGGTTCTGGGAATGGGACGCTTGTTTTCTTCACTTCCTAAGTGTAAAAGAATGGCTTCCAGAAGTGGTTAGCAGATGCTGGAGATGTGACCATCATATGCACACACACACGAGAGCTCATCTATTAAGCTAAGCTTTCTCATTATTTTCTTAGCCCAGATAGGCAAAGTGGAGCCCTGGGAAGCTTCCTCATTTTTCCTTTCACAAAGAAACTGGTGATTCAGTGGTCACAGGAGTTTGTAATAAATAACCCACATTGATTTCTCTGTTCCAGGATGATTTTGGCTTCCCTTCCTCCCAGTGGTCTGATGTTTACCCCAAGAGGCAGTGTTAGGAAATCATTTACAAAATGGTACAGCCTCTCCTTCTGCTATAGTTATAAATCCAAGTATGGGCTGGGACTGAGGGAAGGGATCCAGGACTTCTCATCGTTGATCATTGATGTCCTCCTAGTGGGTACATGCAGATCCCAGCAGCATCAACAGCCATGGAGAAGCTGCTGTGGTGCTCACTGATCATGATCAGCCTCTCTCAGGCTTTTGTCCAGAAAGGTAGGAGCTATTATAAAGATTTGACCTGAGGGGAGGAGGGTGAGAGCCTAGTATTTTACATATGGAATTCAGGGGGCAGCATCCGTTACAGATGTGTATTTGTGTAACCTGGGAAAAGGCCAGATGTCTCTTCATTCTAAACTCTACTTGTAAGTGAAGGTTAAATTTTTGTTATCTGGGAAGCTACTCACTTTCCTGTTTTTCTGTCCCACAGACATGTCTAGAATGGCCATCGTATTTCCCAAAGAGTCAGACAATTCCTATGTAACCCTGGATGCGCTGTCAAAGAAGCCACTGAAAGCCTTCACCGTGTGTCTACATATCTACACGGATATGAGCACAACCCGCAGCTTCAGTATTTTCTCTTATGCTACCAAGAATAGCTCTAATGATATTCTCATATTCTGGACTAAAGATAAAGGGTATATTTTTGGAGTGGGTGGGCCTGAAGTACTATTCAAGGCTTCTGAAATTCCTGAAGCTCCAACACACCTCTGTGCTAGCTGGGAGTCTGCTACAGGGATTGTAGAGCTCTGGGTTGATGGGAAACCCAAGGTGAGGAAGAGTCTGCAAAAGGGCTACACCGTGGCGACAGATGCAAGCATCATCTTGGGCCAAGAGCAGGACTCGTACGGTGGTACCTTTGATGCAAAGCAATCTTTTGTGGGAGACATTGGAGATGTGAACATGTGGGACACTGTGCTATCTCCAGAACAGATCAACACAATATATGTTGGCGGAACATTCAGCCCCAATGTTTTGAACTGGCAGGCACTGAAATATAAAGTACAGGGTGATGTGGTTATGAAGCCCCAGCTGTGGTCCTGACCTACTGTTGTGAGCCCTGAGATACCCCCCGGGATTACATTCTCTCCCTTGTCTCCAGTTATAGACCTTTTAACCCCAACAGATGCTGTAGTTCTATTCTGTGAATATGGCCTTTCATTTCCCTGCTCTGCCTTCCTCAGCACCAGAGCATGGAATTTAAGTGTATGGCTTGGCAGCATGTGCATCATACTAGGAATCCCTACCAAAGAGAATCTGAATTACACGTGTTTATATGTATTGATTTTTTTGAGACAGAATTTCTTTGTGCAGCAGCCTGATGTCCTGGAACTTGTGCTATAGACCAGTCTGGCCTTGAACTCACTCAGATCCACCTGCCTCTGCCTCCTGGGTGCTGAGATGAAAGGCCTGTGCCACCACCACTTCACTTGTTTATATATGCTTTTGATTGAGAGCATTTTAGATAATCCCTCACCCTCACATAGATGAGAAAACAGACACACAGAAAGGAGAGTGAAATTTTTTATTTGAATTTTTTGTTTTTAGAATTTCAAACATGAATGCTGTATTTACTTCATTTCTATCCCTTCCTCTCCAAATCCTACTGTGTCTTGACCCCTTATTTATTAGTTTTATATGCATACACATACATTGATACAATATCTATCACCTATATCATCTATCTATCTATCTATCTATCTATCTATCTATCTATCTATCTATCTATCTATCATCCTACTGATTCTGTTTAGTGTTGCATGTATGTTGTCAAGGGTTGACCACTTGGGACTGGATAACCTATCAGGTGGCACACCCCTGAAGAAAACAGATTCTCCTTCTCTCAGCAGCCATTGATCACCTATAGCTCTTCATATAGTGGTGGGGCCTTGTGAAATTTCTTCCATCCATGTTAACTGGTGTCATCATTATGTGGGTCTTGTTTAGGCAACCCAGAGTGATGGAGCACTGACTCTACTGTGCTCAGAGTCTATTCTTTTCTGGAATAAAATCTGTAACTGAACTTCCTGGATCCATGAATCAATAAAGCCACCGTTGGTTTGAATGAATTGGAGCTGTTTCATGACTAACTTCATTATCAACCATGAAATCAAGAGTGTGAGTTCAGGCTGACTGTCACTGCCCTGGAGGATCATATCCATGCCTTTCCACCTTCTACAGCTGAAATCTCTTGGGATGAGTCCCTTTGAGATGAACAGCCCTGCTTTGGAAATAACTGGTCATTCATGGGGTTCTTGCATGGGGGTCTGTTACTTTCCCTTTTAGAATTGCAGTTTGAGAACAAAAATCTAAAGATCATTGAAATTCATGAGTTTATAGTTAAGTCCAATGATGGAATACGTTTGTTTCCGTCTGTTTGGCTACTTAAAGAAAGACCCCTGAGGCATCCTTTACCATAGTCTTTTAGAACTGGGTGAATGATGAAGTTATTCCATAAGGTCTTCCTTATTCAGGGTTGGAGAAGGAGCTCATTAAATCATTATTTTAAGGAAGGCATATGGTGGACTGGCTAAATAAAGAGGCTGTAGGGTCAAGTCCATATCTTGGTTTTGTAACTTATCAATAATGTGGCCTCTATGACTTAGTTTTCTTACCTACAAACTGGGAGAAATAATTTAACCCACTTAAAGGGTTATTGTAAGAGATTACACAAATAGTAATCTCTTATAAAAGTCATCCTCTATTTTTATTAGTAGGATTTGTACTATATGCATAAACATTATATACCCTGAAAATACTGCTGCTGGGATTTGTCCAGCTTGGCAGCAAGTGAGTTTCTGATTTGCTAAGAATTCAGTTCAGGCCATTAGGAGGACGAACAGAGTGTCTTTGAAGAAATTATTTATGAATATCGATTTCCTTAATTGACCTTTGATAACCATTTAGAAGCACAAGAGTTAAGGAAATACATTCTTAGGCAAAAATGTGAGTGCAGATAATTCTCCATTGTCCAATTAGGGCAAATCCATACACCCTGACACTCAGCTAAGTGGGAGAGAGGGTTGAGGCTCTTTTCTAGTTAACGAACCTAACCAGGAGATATGTCTTAATTATAGAAGTCCATCCCAACTCCCCAGGGATGTGGGATGAGCTAATATGTTCTTCAGAATTCAATTATGGGTATCTTGCTACACACAGTCTAGTGGAGAGCCTCTGGCCCTGATGGTTTTATCCAGGGAAATTTTAACAGGTAGCATTTGCATTCAGTGTGGATTAAAAAATCTTAATAAATTATTTCTATAGTGCTTAAATTCAAGCAATTTACCTTACTGGTTGATACTTTGATGTGATCTCTTTAGAAAATGTGTTCCTATGGACCTGGTGAATTGTCATCCTATATGAAGCTGTTAGATGTAATCTAATAAAATGCTATCTGCTGAGGATGATTTTGGTTTGGAATGTTGGTGCCACCGTTTTATATTTTTGTAAGTGGATAATATCAATCTTCCATGGTGATAGCTTCTGGGTGATATTGGTAATTCTGTGTCATCACACTGGCCTTCCCAGGGTTCATACATCCAGCTTATCCAGCAGCATTGAAGAGCAAGTTAAAAAGACAGAGAGCCCTGCTGTACTTAAATCCTGATATTAAGACTAGGCAATAGGTAGGAAGATGGCTCAGTTGGTACAGCATGTGTCTTACAAGTCTGAGGACCTGAGTTCAGTGCCCAGTGTCAACACAAAGTTGCCAGGCATGGTGGTCCATGCTTGTAACTCCAACACTGGGAGGTAGAGACAAGAGGGCTCCCAAGGGTCACTGGCCATCTAGTCTGATTTAATTGGTAAGCTCCAGAGTAATGGGAGATGCTGTTTCAAAACAGGTTGATGATGTTCCCAAGGATGACCCCGAGAGCATTTTCTGCCTTCTACATGCCAGTGTAAACACATGCCCACACAACTGCACACACCTGCATGCAGGTAAATATGCACATACACACATTCACAAATAAAAACAAGGGGAAATTGTATGCTTTGTTTACCAGAAAGTAAGTTAAGTGAACTTATTTGCTTTTCCTACAGAAAATGGAGATGCCTAGTTCAAATCTTCAGGCCAGGTTCGAGGAGAGATTGTAATTCATTTACAGGTTAAATTCAGATGATTGAGCAGCAGCACAGGTCAGAGCACCTGAGGGTGCCTGTCCATGCAAACACCTTTCTGTTGTAATTGAAAATTGCCATTTGGCACAAAGGTTAGCAAGATGCCACATGATGCTATACAGTTCAGAAGCCTGGCATATTCCTGTGTGTTACATGTTCTCCAATAAGAGGAATCATGATGATGTCACGGCTAAGACTGGGATTTTTGTAGGTGCAAATGAGTGGATGGGGACCCAACTCTTTGGTGATATGTGTTCTGTCTAGGGCCTGGAAAAGAGACTACAGATCTCAAAAATGGAGATAGGGTCCAACAGACATAGATTTGTGATGCAAGTTGACAAGGTAAGTAGAATATTAAATTTGTGATTTTTTTGTCTGTGTTTTTTACTATCACTAAGTTTGAGGTATTCCAGTGAAGCAAAGCTTTAAAAAGAAGGCAAATGACTCCAGATTATTAATCAGAAAACAACAAAACCACACCAAAAATCAAGTTTTCCAAGTGGAGCTTTGATCCCTAGAGTCCTCTGAAATGAAAGGAGTGACACTGTGGTTTCTACCTGTCTCCATCCCAAGATCGCCATCCTCTGGCCTCTGATGGGCTGCCCAGGTGACCTGCCGAGATTGCGTCCCTTCAGTGTTCTGCCTGTGTGTCATCTGTGGGTAGCTGTTCATTTCACCTGGACCAGAAAGTAAGTTAAGTGGGACTATTTGTTTTTTCCTACAGAAAATGGAGACTCCTAGTTCAGTTTCCCTGGAGGCCTGGCCCAGTGATACACTGTAGTCTACTAATGTGGAAATCATTACCTCTGGGATGCTGATCGTGAGTACAGACTCATTGACTTCAGAACTGCTAGGCAAGACTCTCTGGAGTTAGAGCCTGAGAATGTAAAACATCCTCTGCCCAGTGTGCCTCAGAACTAGTCTCATCTTGTGGGCATTCTTAGCTCCCAATAAGCTTCAAGGCAGGTGTGGCTATCTTTAAAGAAGGATCTAGAAGAGATAGATCCAGGGAATACCCCTGGCCCGGCTTTGGTGTGTGCTCCATTTCCTGTGAACACAAATAAGTGAATTCATAATGCCTCGTCAAGGTTCTAATCATAAGGATCTGTCTAATCATAAGGATCATGAGGATCTTCCTCATGATATTTAAAATTACCCTATTTATCTTCAGAAATATTTTTAATTTTTTAAATTAAATATAATTGCATCATTCCCCCTTCCTCCATCCAGCCCTTCCCATGCATCTCCCTTTGTTTGTCCTGAAATAATGTGTAGCTCTATTTCTTTAATTGTTGTTAGACTCTCTCTCTTCTCTCTCTCTCTCTCTCTCTCTCTCTCTGTCTCTCTCTCTCTCTCTCTCTCTCTCTCTCTTTCTCTCTCTCTCTCTCTCACACACACACACACACACACACACACACACACACGTATTCTTAATATATAAATTCAATCTGCTCAATCTGTATAAAATTACTTGTTTGTATGATTTAAGGGCTGACCACTAAGCATTGGATAACCAATTGGTGTGCTCTTTCCTGGGGAGCACCACTCCTTCCCACCCCACAACCCTGCTCTCAGCATTCCTTAGCTGCCTGTAGTTTCTTGTCTAGGGCTGAGGCCCCATGAGGTTTCCCCTTCCATGGTGGCATGTCTATTGAGGTTGCCCTTGTTCAGTTCTTGTTTAGGAAGCCATGTTGATGAGACTTCATAATGGAAGAGGGGGTAGAAAGATTGTAAGAGCTAGATGAACAGGTAGTTTTCTGTGAGCTCATCTCCCAGAAATGTCAGAGAAGCTAAAAGTACCTTGTTCTGACCTGAGCTTTTATCATATACCAGACACCTTTAAACACACTTATTTGAAATTTTTTTTTTT